CATTTTTGGCTTCACCCCCACTCCATGAGTTTAACCTATCTCTGGTCTTCATGGCTTTATCGCAGTAGGCTTTGACAGTTTGCAGCGGTTGATCAACAAACTAGAACCATTTTTTAGCGATGAACCTGGGCTATGCCTCTGATTACGAGTATTCTCTGATTTGCCCTTCTGACACAGAACAGAGCTGCTACACGCAATCGTTTTGTGGTCCAACGTCAGCCATTATAAATAATTCAAATATAAGTAAATACTTTACTGTGATATTAACAACGCACCTAATTACTTTTTGAATTCTGCACAAAAAACAATCATAGAAACGCAGTAGTTCTACGCCTGTTGTCGTCTGATAAAACCGTTTTTTGCCACGGATAACTTTAGTGGGAAAATTGTAAGTCACAGACGATACAAAACAAATACAAAGGGCTCAAGAAAATTGGAAAGGGTTATGTTTTATATTCATGGGTTGAGGAATTCACATACAGAACCCGCATAGGAAACACCACTTGTGCAAGGTTATTATTGATCTTAACCGTCAGTAACATTGTCGTCACCAAAGGCCGTGAAGTCAGCATTTGACAGTTTTAACAACTGCGTCGCTTGAATAAAAAAGCCGGCTATAATCAGTAGATCGCTTAAAATTGCATTATCAATCTGACAGCCAAGCGAAAACTGCCTGCCAACTGTCAAAGCTATTTCTCGACCGCTGCTAAACAGCATAAAGCCGCTGCATCGCTAGACCCTCATTAGTTTTTAGTACATTAAAAATAACGAATCATTAAGTCTGCCGTTAGATTATTTTTGACAGCGGCATCAAATGAGAACAGAAAACGAGAGTTCTTATAACCACAAAATTGATCCGTAGTAATTTGACAATACTATCTACTGACATTCATGACGGATTGCTTATTTTTTGTCGATTCTGACATGAAGCTAACTCCAAAATTTCAAAACCTTGTTAATCTTTTTACGACTTCTGTCCAAAATGGACAAGAAATAAAAAGTTTTAAAATCATAAGACCGAAGAACGACAAGTGACCACAAATCCCGCAGAACTACAATAAAGGGCTACATTGCATATAGGCGCTTGAATCTGGAACACCTTCCGCAGACTTCGAAGCTCTTACTCACGAAGTTGCCGTAGCCTAGAATGGGATACAAACAGGATATCGACCACCTTATCAGAACGATCCCCAGGCGTGTCAATGAGTGCATAAGAAATCGTGGATCTTCAACACATAAATGAACCAGCTTCTGCAGTCAGTTGACGAATCAAGCTGAAAATTTCATTTCATTTTACTAGTACGGGACACTGAACATACATATATGCCAAAAATTATTAAATCGGGTAGACATGAGTAGGTGTTTACCTTTTTTGTCACTCAGTGTAGATTACTATGAGCTTGTGATGATTCAGACAGTTTTCTAGAATCTACATGATAGATCACTCTCGATAAGGACACCTAAGATCAATTATGGTCCAGTTTCACCAAAATATCATTTTCCGCACATTACTAGACACGATACTATAATATAACGCCCAAGACTTTTGACAAATATCGAACGATTTTAGGAATAATTATGGCTTTACATCCCATTGGGATGGAAAACAGGTATATGGGATATTAAAAAATAACGGTCATTATGCTCTGTTGCCTAATGCCCAGCAAAGGAAAATAGTAGTGTAGTTCTAACGATCAACGTTTGATTGATACTTTTATTTTGCCATTTCACATAACCTTGCTTAATTTTATCCAGTCGGAAGTTGTCTTTGTTATTCTATCCATTGAAAGGGTAATGCATAACCTTCCGATTCCCTTCCATAACAAATTTGAAAAGTAATCCTTCAATGGACAGCAGATTCCCGGAAGCCAGCTGGTTCATAAGCTGCTTTGTGATGGTCATTATACAAAATCCGCAGCTAATTACCTAATATCTCAATCAATTTGCATTATTTCGATGCATTAATGAGGGCGTCCAAAACTAATACGTTTTCACAAGTCCACCACCGACGCAATAATGGATCCCCAGATTATTATTACGATTTTCCCGTTTATTTCCACTATCCACCACTTTTAATGATTAATGCGAATAGTTTGCTGCAATGGGAACATTAGCGGCTTCGCTCGATTTGGAAATGTATACGTATACGTGCTCGTTTATACCTTGCAAAAGTAGGACTCAGATATTGCTGATTAAAAAAACTGGCGTCACGTCGCGTCGATTGATTTGTGCATCCCATGCCTTCGTTTAAATTCGTAAATTTCAAACCAAAATTTGATTAGGTATGAGGGTGGTAGATGTATGGAAAATATGTGTGATATTTGTGCCTTATTAATATCAGAACGTCTCTTACTGATACTAAAAATGCCACATTTACAACCGTTAACCCCCTACAACTCCAAACCGTCAATTTTCAACTTCATACTTCTGTACATGAATAAGGTTCTCTAAAACGTCAAAACATGATATTCCAGAGATTCTTGTTGTGTTTCGTACATAGCTCCGTCGGCACTGAATTTTATTCTTAGCATAGTGTCAAAATCTCATCAAAGGGCTACTTTTCAAGTTATAGAGGGGCTAAAGACAAGTCACTTTCTACGTCAAGTAGCACCCAGGTGTCTCGTCACTATTTAATACGTGCATACAAGCCATATGTGGTTTGTTCGTACAGTGGTCGGTGACTTGTTGGCGACTGTGTCTGGAATCCGGCCGCGTGTATTCTGTCTAACTAGCTTATATTTATAGCAGAATGAATGAAATTTGTGTGGCGGGATCTTGGACACGATCACTGACAGGTTAGTGACCGCTGTACGAACAGGGCTAGTAATCCATGGGAAGTCTATTTACTCCACAAACGAATGAGTATCGTAATTGCGAACACATCCCATCATGAGTTAACATGCTTTTTGTTATTTAAAAATATCTCAATGACACAAACCATTAATTTCCTTCGATTTGGCATTCTGGATCTGAATGTCGGTCTGTTGACGTTCTCGTAACCATGTAATGTCGGAAATCCCTACAGCGATTTTAATGGGGAGAAGTATGCAATAAGCTAATTTTACATCATTGGCGGAGGAGTAATGAGCAAAAAACACATTGGCATCAAACCGTTTACAAACTTCTTTTTCGCATGTTTCTCAGTTCCTGGCACCTCTGGCCATAATAATTTTTGTTAGAGATAAGATTTTGAAAAATTACCAATCTATATTGCCTCTGTTTTACAAGGTTATGGTCGCTTAGCTACTTGTATCAGGAGTTTTCAAAGACTCATAACTATATTAAGATGCAGCTTCAGGAAACATTTTTAGGAAATTCAGTGTATGAATGGGTGAGGACTACTGAGTCAAACATGTATGTACCTGCCTATATCCAGAACAACAGCACACACAGAGATTCGGCGAAATGGGTACACTGGTGGGTCATAAAATTTAGAAACATGTATGGTAGGTAGGTTTCGATCGCATCAAATTATCATTCACAAAATACGTCTCCACATAGCCCTATCAACGGTTTTAGAGTTCCACGCTCAAGCCCACTGTTTCGGTGAAGTGATACTAACACCCAAATAATACCAGGTTACAAATATTTCGTTCTTTCCCACAACCATACATCTCACGTAGAAGGATCGGTCGTTCATTATTTCAAATTGCAAGCACATTATTCGCTGTTTTTATTATTTAAATGTCCAGTTATTACTGGGATCAGAAACTTCTCGATAAAGTAATGTCTTTCACTGATACCCGAAATATATTCCATGTTCACACTATTATTCTATACATCATCTCATGGGAATAAGCTTCTGAAGGCTCTCAAGTTGTTATCCTTTGAAAAATAATTGTACATTTGATTTTCGACCTAGGAACTATTGAGTCATGTCGCAATACATTTATTGAGAATCATTTATTAACAGTTGTGGGAACACATCTTTATAAGCTCCTTGTATAGATTAAGCAAACTTAGTTACTTTCAAAAAACATTGTGATATTCATGACCATTACACTAGCAGAAACCTTTATGTTGATAATTTTTCCGCATGCTTATTCAAGAAGTTGACAGTTTTGTTGTCTGTTGAAACCGGAAACGTTTTTCTGCAATTGTGAATGCACGAAATTTAGTTTCTTTTACCTGTTTTTTTTTGTATGTTTTATAAAAATGCCATTTTTG